GGATTATTATTCAACTTGCTAATAGGACGTATGTATATCCCGAATGAATTATAGAGGATGTCCTTGTCCAAGTTAATGATTTGATTTTCCTGGTCGACTTGTATGTTTTGGAAATGCATGATGAGCATTCACCAAATCCATCACCATTACTCTTAGGGAGATCTTTCATGTGTACCGCGGATACTAAGATTGATGTAAAGCATAGTAGTTTGACGATGGAATTTGATGGGGAAAGAATTGAATTTAAAATTTTCAATGCGATTGAACATCCCCAAATTTTCACTCTGTTTTCTCGTTAGATATCATTGACTTTGAAGTGCATGATATTTTGGGGGAAAGAGGCAAGGAGGCGCTAAAAGTGATTTCGCACACGTATGTCCATGCTCCTTTATTTTTGCCCGAGACTAATACACGATTATTGCCTTCAATTTTGCAGCCACCAGAGTTGAAATTTAAGTTGTTTTCGAATCACTTGAAATATGCTCATTTGAGAGACAGTGAGATACTACCGGTGATAGTTTCATCCACAATGATGAAAGCCAAGATGAACAAGTTGAAGAGCGATACAAAATATTACATATAGCATCACCCGTTCAAAGATGGAGAAGAAGTTTGTTCGAATGGATCTTGGGGACCTTCTTCCTAAATTTTCAATAAATAATATCTAACAAAAAACATTAAAGAAAGACGTTATTGGGAGACAATCCAAATTTCTTTTTTACTTTCTTTTTCTTTGTTTTTTGTGTGTTTAGTGTCTTAATTTGTTTGTCTATACTCTTTGTAGATGATAATGATCTCAGCATGTTCCAGACTACATTTTGAGTACATATTATGAATTTAATTAGATTGATAGTATTTATTAAATATATTTTGTATTAATAAATTTTTATCTAATATTCCCTTTGTCCTGCTCTAATGGTATTATTTATCTTTTTAGTCATTGTACTTAACATTAAAAATATCTTTATATTTGCATAATTTTTTCTATACAAATGTTCTTCAATTAGTATTATAAGATACTAATAGACGTATTTTTGCAATTTTTTCTTATTTTGTATTACATTTTGATATAATAATTAATATTTAAAGGTCAAAACGTAAAAAATAAATGAAACCCTTAGTGCCGGATAAAAATAATATAAAAATTGTCAAAATAGTATAAAAGACAACTTTTCCACAAGTATTATTATATTAATTGCTGACATATATATATATATATATTATCTTTATTTATTTTATTTATTTATTTATTTATTTTTTTTTTATTATTATTATTATTATTATTATTATAATTACTGAATTGAAAAAATCAGTGATGCAAGCTAAATAGAGTAGGCAATATACCTGATATTTTTGTATCCCGATAGGATCCAATGCAAAGACAGTCACAGGAGACCTCACCTGACACGCAGATACCACCTGTACAATCAATTCCAGATTCTCATTGCAAACTTATTATTATTATTATTATTATTATTTATTTATTTAAATAAATAATATTTCCTCTGTCTTGAATATTTTATTCGCGTTATTGTAGATATAAAAATTTAAAAGGGATATAATTAATAAATAATTAAAAATATATTAGTGAAAATAATATTGTATAATAAAAATAATTATAGATTAAGATTAAAATAATTTATTAGTATAATTAAAATTAAAAAAATTATAAATTAAATTTTAAAAAATAAGATTAAAGTGTATAATTATTTTTCAAAAAAAAAGTGATAAAATAAATGGGACAGACGAAAATGAAAAGGTGGACATGAGAAGTGGGACGAAGGGAGTATAAATATAAACCCTTGTTTTAATTTGTACTAGTAGTAATTTTATTGCCATCTACATAATATACATACATATTTTATTATACTCCCTTCGTCCCACAACAAAGTATTTATTTTTTCATTTTAATCCGTCCCATAACAAAGTATTCATTTCTTTTTTTTAGTAACTGTACTATCTATCTAATATTACAAATACCCTTACAACTTACAATATATTATACAAATGTTATTATTTTTATATCACAAATACTAATAAGGTTATTTTAGTCATTTCTACTTTATTCCTACTATATCCCAATATAATATTCCCTCCGTCCCATAACAAAGTATCTATTTTTCTATTTTAGTCCGTCCCATAACAAAGTATCCATTTTTTTTTTTAGTAACTGTACTGTCTACCTAACATTACAAATACCTTTACAACTTATAATATATTACACAAATGTCATTATATCACACATACTAATAAGGTTATTTTAGTCATTTCTACTTTATTCATACTATATCACAATATAATACTAGTATTTTTAAAACTACGTGCAAAAAGCAAATAGATATTTAATTTCGGGACGAATGAAGTAATAATATTTCTAAAACTACGTGAAAAAACAAATGAATATTTACTTATAAGACGGGAATATTTATTTGCCTCTGCTCTGTCAGTAAAAAGCTTAACAGCATGCACAGTATTAGTATGTACACACACTGTATTTGTATAGCCGTGGACATTCGAACTACAAAGATATTTTTTCAAATAGAAGAAAAAGATATTGTAATATATTATTAAATATTAGATAAATATGAAATTTTATTTTTCTTTCAAGATTTTGTAAGAAAATAATTAATATATAATATAAAGAAAGAGATCCTGAAAATAAAAAATTAAAGAAGAGAATAAAGTATATAGTATCTTTTTGGTTTATTTTTATTATAAAAAAAAATTGATAAATTTTTAATAGAATTGCTAATTAAATATTAAAATCGAACTAATTTAATTTAGGGGATAAAAATGTCAAATTTTAAAAGTAGGCATAATTAAAAGTGAAAAAAATACAAAATATAAATGGTGATGGTGAATATTATAATGCTATTTCTATTTAAAATCTTTAACTGTTATTTTTAAAATTAAAAATAATACTATTTTTATTAAAAACTGTAAAAAAATAAGGTTTTTTTTTTTTTTTTTATATATATATCAAATTGAAATTAACACTATTTACTTTGCACATTTTCTAATAAAAAAATATATTCTTTTCATAAAACATTATATCCATTTTTTTTTAAAAAAAAAATTCAAATAAGTATAATAATCCCTCAATCCCATAACAAGATATCCATTTACCTTTTGTGTCATTGTACTTAACGTTAAAAATATCCTTATATTTGTATAATTTTTTATACAAATATCATTATATTAGTATTATAAGACACTAGTAGAAATATTTTTGCAATTTTTCCTTGATTTGTAATATATTTTGATATAATAATTAATATTCAAAGATCAACACGCAAAAAATAAATGGATACTTACTTATGGGACGAAAAGAGTATTTTATTTCAAATCAATTTTAAATTACAATCAAATAAAATCTTAAATAGTCAAGATCAAATACACCCAAATTGATTATTTATATATATTATAATTTTTTAATCTTAAGAATATAATTTACAAAAAATATTTCAAATAATGATTAAAACTAGGAAAAAAAATGTTGAGAGGGAGATAAATATATACTCATTCGGTCCCAATACAATAGTCTTTTTTACGATTTTTATACGTTCCAATACAATAGTCTTATTTTCATAAATAATCAAATCACTATAAAACTATCAATACTTTTTCATTTTTATAACACAATTGCCACTACTTTTTACACTAATACACTCACAAGGACAAAAAAATATTTTATCTACCAATATAATATTAATATTATTTAAATCTCGTGTCCAAACCAATTAAGATTATAGTTATGGGACGGAGGGAGTAATTAATAAATACTCTCTCCGTCCAAAATACCGTGTAACATTTTATTTTTGATATGTTCCAAACACCTTATAATATTTTCAAAATATGAAATAATTAATTATACTTAATATCTACCCCACACTTTATCCCCTCGCATCATCTAAAGAAAAAAAAATAAAATATGTATTTCTCTCTCCCACTACAAAAAAGAATATCATTTTTATAACGAGATTTTTTCGTCTTTAAATTCACTTTTTTCATTACTAATGATATTAGAGACAGAATTAATAATGAAATTACGTTAGCTGCGTGATCTTTAATAACGGAATTCCGTTACAAATATACTATTTTTTTATAGTGTCCATCATATCGCCTAATTTCTAAATTATTATACTTAATATTACCCACCTAAAAATTCGTACCAAAAATAAATATTATACTTTATTTGGGGCGGAGAGAGTAAATAATAAGCATATTGAATTGAACTGCAGTTATTAATGAGAAAGGAGTTTCGGTACTTGTGAAGATTTCAATAATTTTAGTGAAAGACAGTAAGTACCTGAATTCAAAGGCTGTATATATATTAGTATATATATATAATGGAATCTCTCCCTACGTACTCACCCCCACCCCCACCCCCACCCTACCTACCTACCTACTATTTTACTTACCACCCTACCCAGAAATTAATACAAGCTGCCACATTATGCGGCACCGACAATATATTTAGACAAACTAATTAATGCATCTAATTAATTATACTCAACAAGTTATACCGAAAATCATATCGCATACTACATACTATATTGAAATTTTTAATATAATATTTTTTCATATTAAAAAAAATTAGTATGATAGATATATATACCGTAACACTATTCGGTATATATAAAAAAATTTGGTATATCGAATACTATAATATACACTATTAGGTTAAAAAAATATTAGAATAAAATGACAAAGTGAAAAAATAAATTTAAATGACGGTAACTATTTTTAATATACACAGAAATACCGAATTTTTTTTAATATTTTGATATATACCAAAAATTTTAATTTACATACGATTATCGTACCAAAATTTCAGTATTTTCGATACGGTATGGTACGATGTGCTTTCGGTAATTTTTTCCTACTCCTAGATCTATCTATTTTATAAAAATCTTAAAATGAAATAAAAGGATTATTAATTAATTAATTAATTCAACTTGTTAAAATTATTATTTCTATGATTTTTTAAGAAAGCGATGGATACATATACATATATATATATAGAGAGAGAAAGAGGGATTAGGGATGAGTGAGAAGGGGAAAACTTGTTTGGGTGATGATGAAGAACCCCAAAATCCATCTCAGTTACAAAACATGAAAAACAAACACGATTTTCGAATTCGATCCATACACCATTCCGATCGATCGACCTCACCCACTATATATGTATATATATATATATATATATAATTACACACACAAAGAAATTTATCGAGAGAGAAGAAGAAGAAGAAGATGAAGACAGTAATATTTAATTTAATTTAATTAAGAATCGTCGTTGTTCTTCTTCCAGCTGACGAGCATGGTGATGCAGCGCTTGACGATGTAGAATTTGGCCTTCTGCTCCTTCGCCATGTTCGTGCACTTCCGCGTGAATTCCGAGCACTTCTGCGACGAATTTCTCGTCAACGTCGACGACGACGACGACGACGACGATTTCACTTTCTGCGACGAGCTTCTCGACAGGCTGAAAGGATTCTTCTTGCCGGAGCTCCGCTGCGAAACACTTCTGGCCAGAGAAGACGACGAAGACGACGACTTGCTGGATCCGGATCCTGATCCGGACTGCTGCGGATACCCGTACCCGTACCCGTAGTTACTATTGCTGCTGCTGCTGCTGCTGGTGGTAGTGGAGACCTTCCATTTATCATCGTCCATATAATAGTAATCCATGATCTCAAAATTTGAAATTGAATTGGGAAATTGTGTATATATATATATGTATGTATGTATATATGTATGTATAACAGAAATGAAATGAGGTAAGCTAGCTAGGAATCGAAATTGTGTAATCTGGTAGGGATTATAAAGGGGAGTGAGAATTTAGAGAGAGAGAGTGGGGTGGGGGGGGGGGGGGGGGGGGGGGGAAGAAGAAGAAATGGTGGGTGATGTTGACGACTGTTGGAGTTGCAGCATCACATGTGGATGCTTGAGTAAGATGGTCAGACTCAGGCCCTTACTTTATTATTTGCAGGCAAATTCTATGCTGGATCTGGTTTTTAGTTTTTTTTTTTTTAATTTTCTGTTCAGGCGACCCCACCCCACCCCACCCCACCTCCATTACCATTGCTGGTGTTACAGCTTATATACACAATGATGGTGAAGAAGATGATGAAGAAAGGAATCCAATAATAATTAATCCCCAAATTGACAAATTAGGGTTTTGTAGAATTAAATGTGGTTCTTGAATTGGGCAGCTGGTCGGTGCTCTCAATATAAATAATTATAATTATAATTTTACTTAGTAATCCGATGCGATAATCCGACATGAAATATTGGGTTTGAGTCAAGAATTTCAACCTAATTATATATATGGAGTGACACGAACTCCATACGATAATAATAATAAACAGGGTCGGGTTAATATTAAGACCCTCAACTCGAATTCGAAACGACAATCCAATTAAAATTTATTAATATTAATTAATAAATTTATTATATATGTAAAATAATTATAATTTAATAATTAGTCTACATCTTAATTTACACTAAGTTTGATTTGAAATAATTCAACATAATTCATTATACATATTATACTAGAACCAACAAGAACTAATACTCCCTCCTTTCACTTAATAAATTTACATTTATATTTTCGGTCATTGTACTTAACATTAAAAATATTTTTATATTTGTATAATTTTTTTTTATAAATGTTATTCTATTAGTATTATAAGACACTAATAGAATATTTTTGCCATTTTTTTTTATTGATTTCTATTACGTTTTGATATAATAATTAATATTCAAATATCAACGCACAAAAACATATGTAAACTTTTAAGGTGGACGGAGAAAGTATAATACGACAATACAACAAAAATAATTTAATTTGAATAAAAAATTTCAACTTAATTATGTATACGGGTTAATACAAGTCAATACGAACCCGACACGATAATAAACGGGTCAATACGAACCTAATACGATAATAAACGAGTCGAATTATAGTTAACTTATTTAACTCATTTAAAATATTCAATCTGACACGAATTGATCAATTACCAGCTCTAATTCTAATGTTTCTAATCATTTACTCCACTGCACATTTACCCATACAATATAAGAAAATACTCCCTCCGTCCTACATACCATGCCCATGTTGTCGTTTCTGTCCGTGTCCCACGTATTATGTCACTTTCCTTTTTTGGAAAATGATTACACACTTCAATCTCATTTTAAACTTTTTAAATTTATTTTTTAAAAAAATTTAATTAAACTAATTAGTTATCTTAATCTTAATTTATAATTATCTATATTACAGGAAAATTATTTTCACTAATACATTCTTAATTATCTACTAATTACACCCCTTCTAAAATACCGTGTCTACAGTGTACCAGACACGGTATGTGGGACGGAGGTAGTATTATTTTTGTAATAAAGATTTTTTTATCTCTAAATTCATTTTTTTCGTTATTAATGATATTAAAGACGAAATTAAACACAAAATTGCATTAGCTACGTGAACTTTATGGACAAAATTCCGTTACAAATATACTAATATATATATTTTTTTAATGATATATATATATATATAAAAGACTGTAAATAATAGTAATAAGCCATTAACGTGGTTAATTACAGTTCTGCAAGTTAATTAATTAACAGAGCTGAGCTGAGGAAGAAGAGGAAGAAGAAGAAGAAGCAGGAAGTGCGATAATGGTGGACATAAGGACAAATAGGCATGTTCGCTATTAGTGTGTTCTCTACCATTTGTCTTCTTCTCCAATATTATTCTCTCTCTCTCCACTTCTTCCATTATTCACAACCTCTCTCTCTCTGTCTCATCATTTACTTCTTCTTACGTCCACCCTTAACTGTTTATATGTGTTTTCGATTCTTTTGAATTATTTTATATATATTTTTATTCAAATATATTTATGATATTCGTTTGCTTTTTTTTTTTAATATAGTTTTAGAAATATTAGTATTATATTGAGATATAGTATAAATAAAATGGAAATGACTAAAATAACCTTAATAGTATGGTGTGATATAAAGGAAATGATATTTGTTTAATATATTATAAGTTGCAAGGGTATTTGTAATGTTAGGTAGACAGTACAATTACTTAAAAAAATAAAATAGATATTTTATTATAGGACAAACTAAAATGGAAAAATAGATATTTTGTTATGGGACAGAGAGAATATTTTTTTCCTGTAGTCTAAAAAATTTGTTTAAATTTTTCTACGGGAGTTTTAATGCGGGATGTCCTTTTGGTTATGTTTACTTTTTTACAGTAAAAAAATAAAAAAGTAAAAAATTTGTATTCTTTTGGTCTCATAATATTATTTTTGTCTGTTTTAAAATAATATTTTTATTTTTTATAAATACGCATATCACCATAAAATTATTTTTATTTTTTTATTATTATTATTACACAAATGTCACTATTTTTTACACTAATACACTGAGAATGACAAAAAAATCTTATATTTATATTTTTTATCAACTATCAATATAATATCAATATTCCTTAAATCTTGTGACTAACCCAAATAAGACCATAATTTTGAAATGAAGGGAGTATTATTTTTCATTTTTGTCCGTTTCAAAACAATATCATTTTATAATTTAGTAACATAATTAATACATTTATATAACACAATCTAATAAGGACATTTTTGTCTTTTTTTAACTATAAACTAATATACTCCCTCCGTCCCATTGAAAGGTTGTCATTTTCTATTTTCGTCCGTCCCAAAACAATGTTACCATTTTCTAATTTAGTAATTGCACTACTTACCTATCATAATAAATACCCTTTCAACTTACACTATATTACACAAATGTCATTACTTTTATATTACACAATACTAATAGGGGTATTTTCGTCCTTTTCACTATAATATATTATAATACTAATATTCAAAAATCTACGTGCAAAAAGCAAACTCCACCCTTATTCCGGGATGGAGAGAGTAATACTAATATTAAAAAATCTACATGCAAAAAACAAACATTGCTCTCTTTCCGGGACGGAGGTAGTATCTATATTCAGTTTTTCATTTTCATCTATTCAAGTCAAATGTATGTATATATATATTTAGTAAAAATATCGTTCAATTAAATATCAAAATACTTGTACATTTGTTATTATTCTTTCAATATTATTAATTTCAAAAGTAAAAAAACTTTACATCTATTTATTTATAAAATACTAATATACCCCCTCCGTCTCAAAACAATAGGGGCATTTAGAATGAACACGACAATTAAATAATTATAGTATTATATCGACAGTGGGTGTAAAAGTATTTTTAAAAGACTAAAATATCCTTACTTTATATCATTATTGTAAAAAAATTGAGATTGTTTTGTAAAAATGTGGGAAAATAGTTTTAAAAAAATGAAAATAAAACTATTGTTTTAAAACGGACAAAAATGACAAAATTAAATTATTATTTTGAAATAGAAAAAGCATATAAATTCACATACAAAAGTTAAACAAATACATAGGATTCGGACGGAAAGAATATTTTTTTTACTAAATAAAAGAAATATGAACATTTTAAGTGACAAATAAAAAAAAAAATTAAACACAAATTAACTAATGGAATAATCACTATAAATTAAATATGACGAGGTTTTTTATTATAAAATTTAAGAACTGAAAATGATACTTTTGAAATATTTTATTACAATGTGAAAACTGTATCGTGGGAAAATTAAATGACTATAACCCTAGTGGGTGTTTGGTTTGTAATTATATTCATAAAATTTTTACTATTCAATCATTATGGGTTTATTTTTTTATTATTATTTGAATCATTTTTTATACTCCGTCCGTATCAAAATTATAGTCTGAGTTGTATTTGACACGAGATTTAAGAAATATTGATATTATATTGGTAGTGGAGAAAAGTAAGGGTAAAAGACTTTTTTGCCTTTGTGAATGTATTAGTGTAAAAATTAGTGACAATTGTGTAATAATAATGAAAAATTAAAAGTAATTTTATAGTGATATAGTTATTTATGTAAATGAAACTATTATTTTGAGACAGACAAAAATAGTAAAAAAAAACTATTGTATTGAAACGGAGGAAATATTATTTATTTTCAATAAAAATAATAGATTTTTTTATAAAAAAATCAATTCAAATAAAATTATCTTATCCTTTTACATTTTATGTTCATATTGTAATTTTTGTCTTTTTCACATTTAATTTTTTTTTTAAAAAAAATGATTACAAAGATTATTTATATTTTAATTTTTTTAATTAATCATTTTTTAAACATTAATTAGATTAATTAATTATTTCAATATGAACCTATATTATTTGTATAGAATTTTAATACTCTTGCTAATATATTTTCTCAATCCATTTTCTATTGTCGTAACCGATATTTATATATTTTTTAAGTAATTATTTTTTTGTTATGAGTTGATAAATATTGTCTTTATCTTGCAAATAAAAAATAAAATAAAAGTAAGGGTAAAAGAGTAAATTTGGTGTATAAAAATAAAAAGATGACAATAATTGTTGGATGTTTCAAATAAAAAGATGATATATTTTTTTAATTATTCACTAATTATATATTTTCCGTGCCTAGAGTGAACATGACACAAGCCATGAGACGAAAAAAATATTATTTAAATCAAAACTAATACTCCATTTGTCCAATAACTAAATATCCATTTGGTTTTTGCATTAGTTTTAGAAATATTAATATTATATTACGATAGAGTATGAATAATGTAGAAATGACTAAAATAACCTTATTAGTATGTGTGATATAAAGTAATGACATTTGTGTAATATATTGTAAGATGTAAGAGTATTTGTAATGTTAAGTAATAGTACAGTTACTAAAAAAAATATTCTATTATAAA